GTGAAAAAAAAAAATGAAAAAGATTTTCCTTTTTATTCATGGCAAACACGAAAAGCTTAGTTGTTTCATTTTCATTTCGAGCATAATAATGTTGACTCGTGTGTTTGAATGCTTTGCTTCTTGAGTGTTATAAGTTTGCATGCTTCAGGATTGCCATTGGTTGACTCTGGGACATGTTCATGCTAAGGTAGTTGTTCTAGAACTCGTTAGGCCCATCGAACCCAAATTAACTTGTTTGTGGTAAGAAGGTGTTGCTCTCATTAGGGGATTTGAAGCCCTAGAGATGGTTTTTGTAACCCGATGTGAGCTTTATTGTTCAAGCCTCCAACATTACTTGTATGAGCGGCGTAGGATCCTCACCAAGGCATGCTTAGATCTAGAACTTGGCGTCTGGCTCCCGAGATCGAGACCGAACTAACCTACGAATGACAAAGGCATTCTTCATTCGGTGACTATTTTTGTTTTCTAGTATTAGTTTTTTTTTTTTTTTTCTTTTGTATTTTTGGGTTGCATTTGCCCTTACCATGTTGAATCTTCCCCTCCTTGATTATAGCACATTGCAAGCCCATGGCCCTTTTGTTTTACTTTCACCCTTAGAATCGTGAAGCTCAAGCCATGAGGGCTTATTGTAGTTTTGATTTGAAATTTGGAAGGGAATGGTTCTACTTGGAAAGTGAAGCAGTGTTTTTGTGAATATATGTTCAAGAAAAGCAAATGTAAATCCTAGAAAAAGCCTTTGAAGCTGAAAAAAAAAAAAAAAAAAAAAAAAAAAAAAAAAAAAAAAAAAAGAGAATGTGACAAACGAAGAGTTGATGAATGAAGATGTAAGAGGAAAGCGAAAGCTCAAAAGTGTTTGGAATTATAGTTCAAGATTGTGGCAACGTAGTTTGAAAATTGGTTGATGATTGATTTTGAAAAAGAGGCTTGATCACCCTTTGCTTCACGGTTAGGCTAAGCACCAATTTCCAAATTCCTCCACACCATTACCCCCTAGCCATCGTTATACCCCTTTCAATGCCCTGTTGACCTAGGTTGGTTGAGTCACTAATCGGTGGAGGGAGCTGGAACTCAAGCATATGGAGAAGGCATGACTTGGTGAGATGTCGGGTTCCCCTATTTTGCAGTGTTTTATCTTTGTTCCGGCTCCTTCGAGGAGTCACTTGATGCTATCTCCAAAGGCGGATTTGAATCTAGATGAGGGAACGCGGTAAGATTGTATGGAATGCGGGGGGAGTGGTGCATGTTTGAGTTCTCTATGCATAGCATAACTTATCCTTCAATCAACTTTCGGCATCCCCTTGCATGCTCACTTCTACTACTCAGAAAGTTTGACACTCATTCATGTTTGTTATCTCCAAAAGCTCGATTTGGCTATGATTTGTGTTGGATTTGTTGTTTCTCTTTCCCTTGTTTTTGGTTTGTCTTGAACGCAATTTTGTAAGAGTTGTGGGGTATGCTCTCTGGAAACCCTCACGAGATCACAACTCGTCCTCATCGGCGACCTTGGGGTTTAAATGGCTTGTTGCTTTTGCTAAAAGCAATTTCGGTTTTTCTTTTGTTCCTTGCATGTTTGAATAACTAATTCTTTCTCCCTTGTTCTTTTTCCTTTGCTTTGCTCGAGGGCGAGCAAAGGCTTAGCGTGGGGGAGTTTGATGAGTGACATTTATGTCACTCTTAAGGGTAGTATTTAGGTCTTTTTCCTCTTATTTTTCTTAGGTTTTTCCACCTCATTATCCTCTTATGGCTTCTTTTTGTGTTGATGAAAAGTAATGCTTATTTCGATAATCTTTATGCATTATTTTATCATCCCCATGCTCTCGTGAACTTTGGTATCTTCTGCAGGTTCCGTGACGGTCCTATGCACGGTGGGAGGCCCCTTGGCCAAGTATGGAAGCCATGGACAAAGGCAAGAGGAGCAAAAGGGAAGGAGAGGAAGCAAGAAAAGGAAGTGCAAGAGGAGGTGTGGCCGAACCTCTGAAAGGTCCGGTCGAACCTTGGTGTGGTCAAACTTTTGAAAAGTTCGACCGAACATCCAGGGTGCAGTGAAGGCAGTGTCAAACCAGTTTTCAGCAATTTTGCAGGAGAGGTCGAACCTCAAAAGTTCGACCAAACAAGGATCAGGGAGGTTCGACCGAACCTACACAGGGTTCGACCGAACCTACCCTGAGTCCGACCGAACCTACCCAGAGTTCGGTCGGACCTTTTCCCGATCTCAGCCAATTTTGTACGGACTATTTAAGGTCCTTTTGAGATCGTTTAAAAAAGAGGGAGAAGGAGGACAGTAGCCTAGTTTTTAGAAACCTCTCTTAGTTTGAAACATTCCTTAGGATTAATTTAGCTTAGTTTTCATCAAATCAAATCATTGTATTAGTGAAATTCAAGAATTATTCTCAAAGTTTGGCAATTTGTATTCAACATTTGAAGCTTCAATTAGTAATTTCTCCAACCTTCTTCCTTTTAATTTCAGATTTTATTTGGTATTTGCATGTTATTTAAATCTTCTTAGTTCTTGGTAATTTGTTATTGGATGATAGTTATTTCAATTGTTAACCACTTTTCCCCAATTATTGAATTATTTAGAACCCTAATTCTTGATTGCATGTTGATAAACATGAGTTGTGAGTAGTTTTCTTGCTAGGGGTTGGGTGAAGCTCGACCTTTTGGGTTAACTATGCAAATGTGGGAGAAGCATTGATGTTTGTATTGCAATTAAATTGATTATATGAGATTGCTTGTTAGTTCCTCATGATAGGTTTAGCTACCCTCGACTAAGGAGCTTGATAGTATGATATGCCTAATTTGACATGGAAGTGTAAATTGAGTACGTCATTACTTATTGTAATTTGATTATGTATCATCTATTGCTAAACTAATGAGGAATCTAAGTTTAGTAGTGTGAGTTGTTTTCTAATTGCATGAGGTTGATTTTACATATAGTCCTTGCTATATCTTGTCTATTTTACCCCCCGTTTGCCTATTTGCCTTGGTTGAGTGGATCTCATTCCCTAGTATCTTTAATTCATTGATTTAGAACCATAGTTTGTTTGTCTTCTTGACGAACCCCAATTCACCAATTGACTTCAAGTTAGCTTAAGTGTAAAGATCTTTGGCAATCATATCCTGTTCCTTGTGGATCGAACTCTTACTTGTCATTATGCTTGGTTTGTAAGGTGTTTGTTAATAAATGTGTTTGATTGAGTGTGGAATGTACGACCGTTCTAACGCCCATCATTAATCAAAGGCCTTCTTTGTGGATCACTCTACCCATCACCCATCACTAACAATGCTGACACCTTTTGTTTTCCATGAGGCTTTAATAGGTTGTAATAACCTATCCACATTTTCTGTCTCTTTACAAAACAAAGTTGTTCTAAGTTTGTTGTATCCAGGAGGCTTATAACTAGAGAGATTAGAATTGGCTGCAAATGTATATGAACTAACATAGTAAGGGTTTCTAGCAAGATTAAAAGGCAACCCCTCCCCCCCGCCCGTGTAAAACATCTAGCATTTTCAGAATCCAAGTGGTCACGAGATTTCATATTAAAAGCATCGGAAATTGTATTGTTTGATTTCCTCTTCTTTACATTATCAGATGAACCTAGTCACACTGATGTAGCTTCAGTTCATGTGTGAGAAGATATGGGTTCATTTGAAAATGGTGGAACTTTTGGTAACAAAGAATTTTTATAATCCTCGGATTCACGATGAAGCTTTCTTAGTTTAGCAAGGTCATCAATTTTCACTTTAGTACAAGTTTGAAACCCTTTCCCTTGTTCACATAGCAAATGAGCTTTCACTCTAGTGTATGAACCATTTTTAACTTCGTCGCAAAAGTTACATTTCCAATTATAATTTCCTCCACCACCCGATATTCTATCACCCTTAACAACAAACTTCCACAAAGGGTAGGGGCCTTTCATAGACTCAGATGAATTACTACTACCACTGACATTGCATGAAGACATTCTTGACAATTTCAGCAAGACAACAATACATTTTCGGCAAATTAAATTAAACAGTGTACAATGTACATTTTCAATTCAGATCAAACAACACAATCAAATTAAACAGTGTACATGTACAATACTAGAAGACATTCCTGCAAATTTTTGTTCTTCATTCCCAAATCCCAACATCTCATATCAAATCAAATTAAACAAGTTTAGTAAGTAGCAACTATACATTAAAATTTACATTCAAAACAAGTCCAGCAGCGAAATAAAGTTGAGAGCAGCAGAATAGCAAATTTGAGAGCAAATTAAAGTTGAGAGCAACACTGCAGCAAAATAACAGATTTGAGAGAGAAAACAACTAAACTAACCTGAACGCTGTGACGGCCGACGAGAGACAGGTGAAAACGAGCGACGGTGACGGCGACAGCAACCCTAAACAGCAACGGTGAGAGCACGCAGCAGATTTGAGAGAGAAATCGAGAATGAGAGGATTGAGACTTGAGAGCGACGACCGGCGGTGACGACTGACGGTGACGAGCGACGGTGAAGGTTACAAAGTGTACTTAGGGTTTCAGTTGTTGTGAGAGGATGAGAGGATTGAGAGAGACAGAACAACGAGCAGTGAGGGAATACATATTTCGCGTGTCCAATACAAAACGGGCCGTGTCTTAGGGTGACACGGTCCGTGTCCAAGCATCAAATTTTTTTAAAAAAACCGGACATGGTTTTCAGTGTGTCAGACACGTGTCGCCCCGTATCCCACGCGTGTCCGTGTCCGACACGCGTGTCGACTCGGCGTGTCAGGTGGTGTGTCCGTGCATCCTAGCTAGTACATTGACATATATGCAAAGTTCACTATGTCAGTTATTTTAACATTTTTATTTTATTAAACCCATTAAAACTCCGCGCAATCTCAAAACTAGCTTAAAAAAAAATAAAGAGAGTACTGAGTACTAGATTTTGAACCATTTCAAACCTTGTTCGACCCATATAAATTTTGGATAAACCCGAATTCATTCGGACCCAAATTTATTTGGACCCGAATATATACTTGTATTATTGACTTATTGTGTTCTGATTCTTCTGAATTCTTGGAGTGAAAACACTGTGCCTAAAAATGGCAAGAGCAGCAGTCTCAGCATCCCTAAAACTCTTCTCCCTCAAATCATCTTCTCAATCTCTCTCCTCCATTCACACTTCCCTCTCCTTCACCACTTTCCATGCTCCTTCTTCCTCCAACAAGATGAAGCAGGAAAGGAGGAGAGAGATTGAGAACAAGAAGAAGACGGCAACTTCTTCGCCGTCTTCTTCCGCCATTGTTGTAGCTTCAAGCTCTTCGAAAGCGAAGTCGAAGGCGGCTTTGGCAGTCGTGAAGAGGAGGACGAGGTCTGAGAAGGAATTCGATGAGGAGTATATTAAGAAATATGGGGATGAAGATAGTCATATTCCTGTTATGCTTGGTGAAGTTATGGATGTGTTTGATTCTTCTTCGTCTTCGTTTCGCCTTCGTTCTTTCGTCGATTGTACCCTCGGCGCTGCTGGTCATTCTTGCGCTGTTAGTTTTCTTTCTCTCTTCTGAAATTTATTGAATTGTAATTTGGTGTTAAAAATTGAGGATATTGAAATTGTTTGGGTTAAATTGATGATGTTGTTTCTGTTTATTTGATTAATGTATTTGTTGGACTAATTGAACTTATTTGATTGAAATGTTGCTGGTGTTGGTTGGTTCTGTGTGCAAATTTATAACTGAAAGTATTATGTTTTATGTTGATTGCCCCAGCTCCTGACCTCCCTTATGGAAGGGTTAGGGTTATGGTGCCGCTCTCGAGTACGAGTTTTAATCTTGTCATATGGCATTTGAATTCTTTGGTAGTCAACTAATGGTATTCTGAAAATCTGAAGTCAATTGAGCAGCCTGATGGAATGTTGGCAAATGAGTAATAATGTGTTTCAGTTCTAGGTGCATTCAGGTGTATGTACGAAATTGTAGAATGGTGGAGAACCGTCGTAAATAGTGCTGTTATATAACAAAAAAAAAAAAAAAAAAAAAAAAAAAAAAAGGGCCACTATCAAATTGTTTGTTGTCTGTTGCAGTTACCATTGTGTTCATAGAAGGAGCAACAAAATGAAAAACCCCAAGTCAAATAAAAGAATATTAATAAATGAAGATAGGTAATTGCCAATTGATTTTAAGATGGAACCTCACTTTGGGTTATTTTAGTAGGCTTCTCTCCCTGTGACTCCTTTATCCATTATAACACAAAATAAAGCACTCAGGAAGTGATGACAATGAATGAGAATCAAGCTTTATACACATAATTGCTTTGCTTTAATAGTTGTGTTGTTAAGCTAAATGTTGTGCTGCTCACTTGATTAAAGCTCCCTTGGGTCAAGAGACACTTAGCACAAGTACATTCTCGTCAACACTGTTTGTGTTTTCTACCTGCATACATGTGCTCTGTCCCTTGCTCTTGTCGCCAATAAGCAAGTCCTTTCTAGATCAAAAGTTTGCTTGTGCTTTAAAGTCCCTTCCCGGCACAAGGCTTGTGCCTTTGCCGCCAAAGAGGCAAGAGCATGCCACTCCATACAATCCGGTGTCAAAACACTTAGACCATGTTCCGTGACACCATGCACCTCAGATTAATAATCAAATCGACCTGTGCATAATTCCTCAACTTCTTGTTGATAGACCTCAACCAACCAGCAAATTATCTTAGCACTCTTAAGATTATTGAAAATTGATTATTTATATGATTGTACACCGTATAAACAAAAGATCATGTGCTCCAATTATCGTATGGCAATCAGATAAGTTTCACCCTTTCTACCAACCTTATATTTTCATCTAGCATATATATTCTTAAAAAGAAACTAGATATTTCATTTTGTTGTGTAAGGTGACATGTAAAATTCCTCTAGAAAAAAAAACCTAATATTTGCTCAAGAAACTTCATGGATTGGAGAGATAGAAAGAACTATTCGGTTTTTTATAATCTTAATTTTAATTTTATTTAAGGGAGGCTTAATTGAGGTTCTGGCTAATCAAGCTCGTCACTTCAAGTTCAAGAAAAGCAAATTGGAAAACATAATGAGAGGTCCTAGAAGCTTTAAAAACATTGGAATATTGGAGATTGGATTCTAACACATGGCTACCTATTTCACCTCAGATGTGCAATTTGGGAGTTATTTGAGAGTCATTTATGGTTGAGTCTGACCAATATGCAACAACAAAGCCTTAGTCCCAAAATGAGTCTGACCAATATAATGTAATAAATTTTGGTGAGCTTTTGGGATTAGAACCTATCATGATATTCCAGCGGTCCAGCCCTTTTAGAAGTTTGTTGCTGATGCTTTATTACTTCTGTAAATCTATGTATTTTCTGTATTGAAGATTTGAAGTTATCTATAGTGGTAATGCTATTGCATAACTTTATGTCGTTGATTGGAGGGTTTTCTTCCTAGTAGAGTAGTATATATCTTGTATGGTTTACATGTCTCATGTTAAATACAAGTATCCCATATGTTTTCCCCTTTATATCATGAATACTAACATGGAGGGTACTAATAAAAGTTCATTATTTTTTATGCTGATAATTTTAAATACAACCCGCAGATAATTCAAGCTCATCCTGAACTGCAAACATATATTGGATTAGATGTTGATCCTGTGGCCCATGAGAAGGCTCAATCTCGAATCAATAAAATGCTGAACAGCACGCCTGCTTGTTCAAATACCAATCTGAAAGCTCATATGCTTTTGAGGAACTTCAAAGAAATCAAACAAGCAATTGGCCAGATTGATGAAAAGCTTTTACTCTCTGGAGTTGATGGGATTTTGATGGACTTAGGGATGTCTTCCATGCAGGTAAGCTTGTAAACACACTCTGTAGACTGCAGTAGTACAATTGAAATTTTTAGTATTCTATAAATACATATATATTCTTCTATGATTTTCAAATTGATCTTCTTTTAGCTGGTAGCCTTCTCATTCCTAATACCAGACCATAAACTCCATATACCTATTTTCTTTGTCCTGTCTATCATGCAATTCTTTATCTCTTCATTTCAACTCTCGCTTGGTGCAAACTAAGAATGACAATGGGTCAGACCACGTAGGATCTGACTCTGGCCCAATAAACAATCGGACCTTAAATCTGAGTCCGACTCCAAAAGCTCCCAATCCGCCTTCTAGTCAATCAGACTTCACTGCCTCTGACCCTGACTTAGATCTGACCTAATAAAGACGAAATATAACCAAAACAAGTAAAGCCATATTTTACATACCCATAGTTGAAAAAAAGCATATTCTTATTCCTAATTGTATAATTTAGAAATCAACTGCAATCAAAATCTCATCTAGAAATGGCAGCATGAATATCGGATCTTGAGATTATAAAAATATATTTCTTGATGCAATTAATACTTCATAACTTCTAAATCCATATTCTTGTGATTTTCAATCGTATACACCTAGGTAACAATTAAATACAAATAGTAGACTTCATTTTACACAATCAATTTATATATTTTTTTGAAGAAACAAATTTATACTGGTTGTGTAAACATAGAAGCATTTATAAGCTTATCTATTACATTTCATATCTAAAACAAGTATAAGCAATCATCGTTTCATTGAGAGGAAAAGAGGAGGGACAGTCAAATTGATTTTATCTCCATTATAATTTATATTATTAAGTTAATTTCTTGGCTTCATGATTTAAATTTGCAAATTGATGAGAAGGTTTTGGCTTATGGATTTAAACCTCTTAACTGTTTATTGAAGAAGAGATAAGAGTGTGAGAGAGAAATTAGAAGAGATTCTAATTTGTGAATAGAAGAGTGCAAATGAACCTATGTTACTCGGACTGGTACAAATTTGTGAATAGAAGAGTGCAAATGAACCTATGTTACTCGGACTTGGGTATCCATGTCCAACACGGGTGCGTGTCCAAGTGTCTAGATCGGCTATTTTGTGAAAATCTTTCATAAATTAAAACTAAAATGAAGTGTCTAAGTGCCTTACCCGTGTACGAGTGTCGAGGATCCGACACGAGTATTTGAGGTGAAATGAAGAGTCCGAGTAACATAAATGAACAGCAATAAGGTTTGGAAATATAAATAAAAAAAAAAACTCTCGGTAATTATGATTCACGGGTTCATTTTCATTACAAATCAAAATCTAACTGGGTTCTCTCGGACTTTTCTCTTCGGATGAAGTCGGTCTCAAATTGGTTCAAACTAAATTGTCATCCCTAGCACAAACACTTCCACACCTAACAGTAACTTTTATCTTCTATGGGGCTGCATGACCTGTAACCACTGCAATCTAACTTTGATAGGATTGGAGATTGAGAGTCATAGCCTAGAATTAACTCAATGAAGTACCTCTAGTTTTCTGAGTCCTTACATTTTCTTTTACAGATTTCCCATATCCTTCTGCTTTGTAAAATGTTGGTTTATCTTCACATCTCCATCATCTCAATCTGCTGCTCTTTCGCATTGTTCTTCCCACCCTTCTATGTTAGCTGATTGAATTATGGTCTATGTATCTGTTTGGTAGAGAGGATTTGAACTGGTCAATCTACTATTAAATATTTTTCGGTAAAGAGCAAATTGAAATGAATCTACAATTTTTTTAATTGCTTAATAAAGGAGCATTTTATTAATAGATTTACCTCCTTGAAATTAATATACTCATTTTTTAAAAAACTTTATCATAGTTGCCTTATGTTACTGTGTACTCGTAAAATATAATATTCTTATTTTTCTTTTTTATCTACTATCTGCTGGTCTAATTTGTTAATAAAAAAACTTTTAAATGAAATTGTGATTGATGAATTGCATCAACTCATTTATCTTTAAAGAAATTGTGATTGATGAATTGCATCAACTCATTTATCTTTAGCAGGAGAGAATCATATTTGGAATTCAATGTTGTTTATTACTCAGATCACAAAATTGAAGCTTCGACATTTAGTCTGAAATTTCGTGTTATGTTTATAATTATGCTTGAGGCATTTGATCCATTTTTGTCTTGTTGCAATATATGTTTGTATATTTATTTGTCCTCATCGAGATAACCATCCTCATGAGCTTGTAGTGACCACTACAAATTTGCAATTTGCAGGTTGATGATCCTAGAAGAGGATTTAGCATGCTTAACAATGGGCCACTTGACATGCGAATGGATCCTAAGGTATGAGCAAGACTTCATATCACCCTTTTTCTCTCTGTTAGTTGTAAGTGCTATATTGCTGTGTCTTTATTTAAGTGATTGCACTAGCAAATTTTTTTTTTTTTTTTTTTTTAGTAGTTGAGAAAAGAATCAGTTTCAGTTTCTATATATCTGATACATGTGAGTTTATAAGAGCTATAAAAAAAACCACCACCCAGCATGATTGTTTATTAGCAAAATTTGTAAAGGTACGGACAAGTGAAAATGTATGCCTTTAATCTATTTTGAAGTCTAGCAGAGAGGAATATTTAGGGTAGTCTCTTGTTTTATTGTAATACATACGGTTTTTGATTTTGGTTGGTTTTCTGCAAGTTTAGAATTTTCCTGTCATATGGTGTGCTCAATACCTTTATTTTATACTTTGTGTGTGTGTGTATGGGGGGGGGGGGTGTGTTGTTTGTTAGGGGGGAAGCAAAGGTGGATAAGGAGCTAGATCTGATTAAAAAATGAAGCAAACAGATAAAATCCATATCTTCATTAAATGCCATGTTTTGCTGGAATGCAGGATGTACATAGCCTCCTATCTCTTGTGTAAATCTTGTTAAAATTTTGGTATTAATTACGTGATTAACTGAATGGAACAGGAATGTAACAGGGTAGTTTAAAAGCAGAGGATATACTCAATTCTTGGCCACCAACTGAAGTTGGGAAAATCCTTCAGGAGTATGGAGAAGAAAGTAACTGGTATTCTCTCCAGAACAAGATTGTCAAGGCTCGTCTAGGTGGCGGATTTCATACAACTGGTGATTTGGTGGATCTTATTCGCGGTTCTACATCTAGGGTGAAAGGTATGGTAATAAAAGGGCTGACCGTCCATTGCAAGGCTATTAATTATATATTACTAGTAAAAAGGTATGGCTTTTACAATAATTTCTCATGAAAAATACACTCTTAAATACGAAGTGTAATTTTTCTGGGATTAAAGGGGTTATATCATTTATTCTCAGGTTTGTGTTAATCTCTTCTTTGCCTAATGTCATTACCATTAAACTAAATTAAAATGGTCGATGAATTTAAGTTTAATGATTGATTTTGCAAGCCAAATATGACTATTAATCATGGGCATGTGCATGAAAAACTGATAATTCGAAGTGATTCAACAGGAGGTAGGCAGGGTTGGATAAAGACTGCTGCACGGGTTTTCCAAGCGCTAAGGATAGCAGTTAATGATGAACTCAAAACCTTGGAAAATTCTCTTTACTCTTGCTTTGATTGCCTTAGTCCTGGTGGCAGGTTCGCAGTCATATCTTTCCACAGTTTGGAAGACAGGATTGTAAAACAGACTTTCCTCAACATCATCAATAACATTCCGAGAAAAGATGACACAGTTATAGAAGAGGGGGGATTTGAAGCTAAACCAAAAGAGTTTAACTATTACCCTGGCGAAAAGGAAGTTTGGATTAAACAAGTAGTTAAAGGCTCGTCTGGGGTAATCCTCACTAAGAGACCTATAACAGCATCCCCTGAGGAAGAGAAATTAAACTCGAGGTGTAGGAGTGCAAAGCTCCGAGTGATTCAGAAGATGTAGGAGCAAGTTAGGATATTAGTCACAACTTTAGTCTATGGAGGGAGAAACTTTGCTTCAATTTTATGAACAGTGCTAAGGCCTTAAGGGACAGCACAGCTTTTCATTTTAAAGACTGATTTTTTGCAAGTCCACATTTCTTATTCAATTTGGAATTGCGATTAAATGTTAATCTATCTTCAGTTAATATATAACAGAAATTACTTCATTTGCTATTGCTAGGATATGTGTATATTGTATAATACATTCTGAGATGGGGTATTCTTGTGAACTAGAAACGCCTATGCTGTACATACATCAGGACAGTGCATAGTGTGCACGTGTCCGTGTCCCGTGTCCCGTGCTCGCAGGGGTGCGTCTCTTGCATATGCCACCCGGAAAGCCTCCAGGTGAACTTTTTTCAAGGTATAGAGTTTATGATCAACAAGGTAACAACTATGACTACTTGCAAAACTGTTAAAGGGTCAAATCAACACATGCAAATGAAACACTTGCTCAGCTCAGCCACTAGAAGGCGGCTTAAATGAGTGCTGCTAATTTGTTTTGTTATCAAGAAGATGGCGTGATTGTTTGACTAGTCCGCAAATATATTAAGGGGTGGGTGCTTGGCGATATGGGTTGAATGCAATGATATCCATGCCGCTTTCCTACATGAAATTGGTTGGAATTTCTCGCCTTTGTTGTTTCTTTTCTTTTCTTTTTTTTTCCTTTGGTTAGTCACAAATTATGCCTGGTTGTAATCTGATTTCTTAAATAAGTTTTTACACTACTATATAAACAAAAGTGTGTAAGATGTCTCGTCAAAAAAAAAAATGTGTAAGATGTTGTAGGGTTTATTTTAATGTATACATTCAAAAAAATTTGATAGTTAAATATGCATTATATCAATTTGATAGTCAAACTTCAGTATTGACAATTATATTTAGTCAATTTTGTCAACTAAATAGAAATAGAGGGATTAATAGCACCGGCAAATTATGATCACTATTGCTACTAGACTACTAGTCCCTTTTTTATTGAAAGATTGTCTTATTTGACTTTTTACAACTTTTAAAACACAGTGTAGGAATTTGAATTTTAACCATTAAGTCAAGACCTCATCGATATCTAATGTTATTTGTTAAACCCTTATAATTTAGCTACGATTACAGTTTGCTAATCGTTACGAACTTCATATGATACAATTGGACAAATAGCCCATGATGTGGGGCAAGATTACGAATCATAGATGGAGGACGATTTATGTGTGAGATCCAATTCCCAAACCCTTGAATAATGGCTGGGGGTGGGACTTCGGTCTGGCGGTTCGGTTTGACCTCGGTTTGAGTCGGTTTCGGTTTGAAGCGGTTCGGATTGAAACGGTTTAGTTTAGCTGGCGGGTCAGTTTGGTTCGGTTTGGGTTAGTCACGGCTCGGTTTGGTTTCGGTTTATTTCTTTGCGGTTTAAATTCAGTTTGGGTCATAAGCGGGTCGGTTTATAAACGATTCGGATTATGTCGGTTCGGTTTGATACGGGTCGGTTAAGGGGGCGGGTTTACCCGGGTCAATGTCAGTTCGGTTTACAAACGGTTTGGATCAAGCCGGTTTGTTTTGAAATGGGTCGGTTTAGGGGTGGGTTTACCCGGGTCAATATCGGTTCGGTTTATAAACGGTGCGAATCATGTCGGTTCAGTTTGAAATGGGCCGGTTTAGTGGAGGGTTTACACAATTCAATTGGTTCGGTTTATGAACGGTTTGGATCATGTCGGTTCGGTTTATAAGCGGTTTGGGTCATGAATTCATGATTGTTTTAAAGATCGCGTCATGACCATAATTTAATGAGTTGATACTTATAATACGATAAATCGATAATTAAGAATGTACAAGTATTCAATTAGATTGATCAACAAGTGTTTTAAACTTTTAAGTTTTAATGATCAGATATGTAAATATGTTTATCGATTGTAGTACATACCAATAATTCAATGAGGCAATGATACTTATGATAGTATGATAATGATACCAACCGTACATTCGTACGATATGATATACATAATAATTAATCTATAATTACATATACATTAACAATATCGTATTGAATCAATTTCCATTTCCAAACATTGCATTTCTTATAAATTATAACTTACACGAGATTAAATGGATTCGTTATTTAGTTTGTTACTTTATTTAGATTACTAACTCAAACAACTTAATAAGTTAAATGGACGAAATCACGAAATCACTAATTAAAGTGGTTATGAAATCATTATGCAATACTAATGTACGAATAGTCAAATATACAACGGTTAGATTGAATGCCCATGAAAAACAATGGTTAGATTTTCATTACTTTATTAGTTATTAGTATTACTTATTAAGTTATTATTAGTTTATTATATATATATACTGATATACAGTTACAGACTCACAGATATATATAGTATACATATACAGATGTCAGATATTGATGTGCATTAACTCATTAAGTCATTAACTATGTCGTATTGAATCAATTTCAATTTTGAAACATTTGCGTTTCTTACAATTTATAACTTATAAGTAATAAACTAATAATAATAATAATAGTAATAATAATAATAATAATATATAATAATAATAATAATAATAATAATAGTAATAATAATAATAATTATAATAATATTATAATAATAGTAGTAGTAAACTAGTAGTAATAATAATATTAACAAATAATTATACTAACAATAATAATAATAATAATAATAATCCCTCAAAATAATAATAATAATAATAATAACTAATTAAAAAAAACGGTCAAAAAGACCTAGAAAAGCACAAAGAAAAATCTAGACCGTTAGATCTTGATGAATATTCTGGAATCTACAAAAAAAAAATAAACGGTTAGATGTTGAGATTGAATATGGATGGTTAGATCAACTGAACAAGTAAAACCTAAACCTAGAAAAAAAAAACCCACTCTATCAGCCATTCAGCCGTTTTACTCACTCATAGTTTCTCTCTCTAACTTCTCAGTTTCTCACTCTTTCGTTCTGAAATTCTCAAGAATCTCAAGCTCAACTTCTCAACTTTTAAAAATCCTAATTAGGGTTTTTGTTTTCGTTTCATATGTGTTTTGGATCTACATTTGTGATTTCTCGCTTTACATTCTCGTTTTTTTGTTTTTTCAAATCTTCCTCTCCTTCAATTTGAAGGCTTCAAGCCGTCAAAAGTTCAAAACTCAAGGTAATTTTTTGTTAATTTTTGTTGTTTTCGTTTTGATTTTTTTCGTTTTTGTTTCGGTTTGTTTATTTAGGGTTTTTGTTTTCGTTTCATTTTTGTTTTGGATCTAAGTTCTGATTTCTGACTTTTCCATTCTCGTTTTTTTTTCCAAATCTTCCTCTCCTTCAAGCCGTCAAACCTCAAGGTAATTATTTGTTAATTTTTGTTGTTTTCGTTTTGATTTTTTTCGTTTTCATTTCGGTTTTACTTTTTTTATTTAGGGTTTTTGTTTTCATTTCATTTTTGTTTTGGATCCAAAGTTCTGATTTCTAACTTTACCGTTCTCGTTTTTTTTTTTTTTTTTTTCAAATCGTCCTCTCCTTCAAGCCGTCAAACCTCAAGGTAATTTTTTTGTTAATTTTTTCGATTTTTTTCGTTTTCGTTTCGGTTTTTTTTTTTATTTCAAGTTCTGATAATCTACATTCTTGATTTTTTCTTTTGATCTCCAGTTCAGGCAGTTCTCCATCTTCAAATCTCCTTCAAGCCGTCAAAGGTAATTACTTTTTCCTTTTCGTTTTTTTTTAATACAGTTTTTCTGTTTTTGTATTTGATTATTGTTGTTGTTCTTACTTGAATATAGTCGAAATATGCCTAAAATCTGTTGTTGATTGTATTTTTGTTTTTTACGGGAAAATGGTAGATTTGTGCTGTTTTGTTGTTTATTATGCTCGATTTAAAAGTAATGATGATGGGTTGTTCAAATTATGTGGTTATTGGCTTTTTTACCTAACAAAAGACCAAATTGTGTCACTTTCTGCAGTTATGTGCATAAAATAAATGCTAGTTTAGGGCTAGTAAAATAAACATCTCATGTTTATTTATAGGTTCATAATTTCATTGGAAACTTTTGAAAAAGTTTAAGCTTTTCTTATGTATGCTTTTTTCTTTTTGAGGATATAGGGGTAAACTTTTGCCAAAGAATGTTGAGGCATTGGTTACCACCCAAAATTGGTGTCGTGGTTATCAAGCGGATGTTGAGGAAGACGTCCTCCTTATTGGTAAAGAGATTGAAGTCGAAAGTGTTTCATCTGCATAACTGGTATTTGTGTCTCATTGTGGTTTATTTTATCTTGAAAAATCGTTGCCCTTGTCATTTATTTTCAGACTTGCTGGCAGCATTTTTCAAGACTTTTAAAATCGTTGCCCTTGTCATTTATGTTGAGACTTAAATAGTTAAATGTATTTTGGTACTTGCTGGCAGCATTTCTTAAGTTTTTGTTAAAACAACCATTGTTCAGTGATGTAAATCTGAGAGCAATTTAAAAAAAAAACAAAAGCTATAATTTTGAAGTTGCTTGAACTTGTTATGAGTTGCTGCCTGCTGGTAGTGCTTTTTCCTTTTGGTTGTTGTCTCTGCTGAGTTGTTATTGCCTATATTGTTGCCTGCATGAGCTGGTTCCTGCCTCCTGCCAGCTTGAGGTGTTGTGTTGCTGCCTTTTGTGTTATGAATTTATGATAAGTTTTGTTGCTGCTGTTTCTTATGCTTGTTGTTTTAATTTTTCTTGAATCATCGTTGCCCTTGTCATTTATGTTGAGACTTCAATGTATATGTACTTGCTGGCAGCATTTTTCAAGTTTTAAGTTAAAACAACCATTGCTCAGTGATGATACGATAAACGTAAATCTGAGAGCAATTTTGAAAAACAAAAATAAGTTCATGTTGAGTCCCTTCTGCTTATATTATTCCTTGCTTTTGATAAGTTGCTGTCTGTTATTCCGTGTGCTGGTTCCTGCTTGTTGCTGCTATTTCCTCTGCTCTTGGGTGTTGTGTTGTTGCTTCAAGATTCTGCTTCAAGATTCTGCTCCCAAATCACTCACATTCTCACTCCTCCCTTCATCTTATAATGTATCATTTTTTGCAACCCTAAACTTGATGATGCTTCAGTTGATAAATCTGAAATCTAATCTGGGTAGTAGTGATAGTAGTTTCATAATGTATTGGTATATGTATTGTGAATTTTAATCAATGAAA